CAGATCTTCTGTGTCCAGAAGATTCTTTTCTTTGGTCAGGCTTCCTGAAGTTTCTGAACTTCTTTCCTTTATGCTTCCAGAGTTTGTTTATTCTTCTAGACAACATGGATAGTTCATCTTCATCTTCAGATGAGGATTCTTCAGAGCTTTCCTCTATTACCTGCAATGCTTTAGCAGATTTATTAGATTTTAAAGCAATTGATTTACCTTTCTTTTGAGGTTTATCTTCCTCAAGTTCAATTTCATGACTCCTCAGTGAACTGATTAGTTCCTCCAAGGAGATCTTGTTCAGATCTTTAGCCATTTTCAGCGCAGTCACCATAGGTCTCCATCTGGTAGGTAAACTTCTGATGATCTTTTTCACATGATCAGCAGTAGAGTATCCTTTATCTAGAACCTTTAGTCCAGCTGTAAATATTTGAAATCTGGAGAACATAGCTTCAACAGATTCAGCTTCTTCCATCTTGAAGGCTTCATACTTCTGAATTAGAGCCAGAGCCTTTGTTTCCTTGACTTGAGAGTTTCCCTCATGAGTCATCTTTAAGGACTCAAACATGTCAAATGCAGTTTCTCTATTTGTGATCTTTTCATACTCAGTGTGAGATATTGCATTTAATAATATTGTTCTAACTTTGTGGTGATTTCTAAATTCCTTCTTTTGGGCTTCTGTTATAGATTTTCTATCTACTTTCTTGCCATTTCCATCAATGGGATGAACATATCCATCTATGACCAAATCCCATAAATCAGCATCATAACCAAGAAAAAAACTTTCAATCCTGTCTTTCCAATAATCAAATTTCTCCCCATCAAACATAGGGCATTTAGTGCTGATTCTGTCCCTTTCTTCATATTTGTTGTTAATGTTAGATATTGAAGTATCAGCCATAGTAACAACCAAATATATATCAAGTTTTTCTCACTGGATCTTTTCTGTCACTGTAAAGTGGTAGCACACACAGAACCGGAGCTCTGATGCCAACTGAAGGTGAGAAAATACTTAGAAGGGGGGTTGAATAAGTATGAAGATAAAAACTTAGAAGTAAAAACTCAAGTATTTTTATCCTGGTTCGTTGAACTCAACTACTCCAGTCCACCCTTTCTAGAGTGATTTGCCTTTCTCAATCAAGGACTTAATCCACTATTTAGTCAACTGATTACAATAGTAAGCACTAAGAACAACTATTCAAAGTCTTCTCAAGAACTACTGATCCTAACTGGATCTTCTTAAGGTTTTCTTACCATCAAATGTAATACTAAATACAAGTCTTAAGATGCTTCTAATAAAGCTTTATCACAACTGTGATTTTTCACTTAAGATTAAGAACAAAGAAATAATTCTAGAAAGAATATATGAGTTGTATGAGAGCTTTGATAATGAATTCTTTTCAAGTGTTTCGTCAACTGAAGAAGATGAGTGGAGACTTGCTTTTATAGGCACAGTGATCCAAGAGTTTTTCACGTTGATAAGAGTGTACAAAAAGGTCTGAGTCTTTTTGTCTTCACATCAAGTGACCTTTCCTAGAAGAAGAAAGCACAGAGAAATCCTTTTTGTCTGTGTTCTTGTGTCTAGCATAAATAAGGAAAGAGTCGTTTGGATATTCCAACGGACATAATCTTTGAATTCTTCTTCAATAATTTTCAGCAAGAATCATCAGAGTCTAATTTGATCAGAGCCTTCTGATGTTGATCAGAGTTTTGCTGAATCAGAGTCTTTGCAGCAAGTGTGCTTTTAGCGTGTATAAGTTCAGAGCAGAGTTTTGGGTCAGATCCTCAGTACTGGCAGTGTTAGTACTCTCAGAGTCTTCTGAATTAATTGTGCTTGAAAACTCTTCATACAGAATTCTTCATTGGTTCAGATGCTTCTGACTTGCTTCAGATTCTTCTGGAGCTTCTGCTTCAGATCCTTCTGGAGGCAACACTCAGAATCTTCTGATGGTTGCATCTGACGCTTCAGAGCCTTGCATATTTCTTATGTTCAGATCTGATTTGCTTCTGGAGTGATATTTACTTTAATATCTGCAACAAACATTCTTAAGCAAATTTTAGAGTACATAATTCTTAACTACAAAATTTCATAATAGTTATCATCAAAACATAGAGATATTATTAAGAACCAATCTGTGTTCTAACAGATATGCTATGGGATGCATCTATTATGGACTACAACACAACCACAACAACTACGCAACAAGGCATTAAGCCTACAACCAAATTGTCCATAACCGAAACATCACAATTTCATACGCATCATATAACCACAATTTTCATATCAAATCAAGTAAGAGCATAATAATAACATTCTCTCAACAAGTAAAGATTAGCGTTTCCAAATATTATTACACAAAATTAATGACATAAAACACTAATTCAGGCACCGACAAGCATTATCCCTAATATTATCAACTCGCAGAAATTAACCCCATGATTCAATTCCTGTCATGAAATTGATCATACCCATAGTTATAGAATTGAACCCCACACTTACCTTTGGATTGAGGACAACTCTAAACTCCCGGTTCCGGTTTTGCTCTCTAGTGACTCTTCTGCAACTACCTTGAATTCACTCCGGCGGTTAATTCCTATGTTCTTAATTTCTCCACAGCCACGTTCTTTTCCTTTTGGTTTTTGTTTCCACTGTTACTAGTTTTTCTCCCACTTAGGTTACTAGTTGTTAGATTATTTTATTATATTATTATTATTATTATTATTATTATTATTAATTTTAGGCTTACTATTAGTACTCCACCTTTTACTATTTTAATCACTAATATTTGGCCCACTTAGATAGTTGTTCATAAAAATCAACTATTATTATTTTTCTTGTTCCTTTTATTTAGTTTCGCACTAACGGTAAAATATCCCGACTAAAAGAATTTTACCCGATATGCCCGAATACTACTACAATACGGCGGTTACGGCCAACCATTCATAAATAATTTAATTTAAAATAACCGGGCGTTACAAAGTGATGAGGTATAATAAAATGGTTACTGATGTTGATGTTGATGAGGTATATCAATATGCCGGTGGTGTTCAAGTTAATGATGCTGATGGTGTTCAAGTTAATGAAACTAATGATGTTCAAGGTAATGAAACTAGCGATGTTGATAATGTTCAAGGTAATGACGCTGATGGTGTTTGTGGCATTCAAACTAATGAAGCGAATGAAGTAGATGATGTTCATACAAATGAAAATGATGATAATGAAGATAATAACTTTGAATTTGATGGTTTATCATGTGATGATAGTGAAGATGAAAGGGCGCTTAAGTTGGATGATTGCTTTAATGTTAATGAAAAGCAAGATACTCCAAAGAAAATGGTAAAAGTTGCAGCAAGGAAGCACATGGATACTCTAAAGAAAAGGGTCAAAGTTGCAGCAAGGAAGTACATAGATACTCCAAAAAAAGTTGCAGCAAGAGCTTCACAACATCTTGCAGACCTTTCATTAGGGTTGATGGATGTCATCTCAAGATTAAGTATGGAGGGACTTTTCTAATTGTAGTTGGTAGAGATCCCTTAACTTATGTTATGTTTATGTAATTTTAAGACAAAACTAGGTATGTTTATGTTTATGTAATTGCAGTTAGTGGATGTCTTATTTCTTACTCATTGTGTATTTTGCAACCTTATGCTTTTTGCCCTTTTGAAATTATGACACAATTAGGTATGCCTTTTAACATTATATTATGTTTTTGCCTTTATGCACTAAAGAATTATGCAAACTACAAGTTATGGTTTTGTTTTAGCATTATATTTTGTTTTTGTCTTTTTGTCTTAGACAATTGGAATCATGAAAAAGACATTGTGGTTCTGGCATTTGTGCATTTTTGCCTATATGACATTATTATGTTTATGTAATCCTAAGACAAATTATGCTTTTGAGACAAGTTATGTTCTATTTGTGTAATTCTTATACAAGTTATGCTTTTGAGACAAGTTATGTTATTTTATGCAATCCTAAGACAAATTATGCTTCTGAGACAATTTATTATGTATTTTGCAACCTTATACCTTTTGGCTTTATGAAATTATGACACAATTAGGTATGCATTTTAGGCAAACTACAAATACAATCACGACATACAAACAACACAATATGAAACATAGACGAAAATACAAAATGTCAAAACATTCTAGGGACAAAGTTCTTAACTAATTAATCAATACTGGGATGAAATTCAACAAATAGCCATCTTATAAGGAACCATAAAAAATTACAGACGCCATGAACATGAAACTCATTACCACTTCAAGTAAGCAAATAACAAGACCCATGACAAATTCAACAACATCCTAGACAAATTGGTCTTCTTCCTTTCGTTTTTCAACTTTAATTTCGTCTTCTCTTTTCCCTAACTTCAACGTCTTTGATGATGCAAGCTACAGAGAAGAAAAACGCAACACTTATTATAGAGAAAAGAAGAAAAAGTGCAGAAAAATATTTGAAGAGGAAGAAGATGATGCAAATGGTAAATTTTTTTAGATTTAGTCCTCCTTTAAATAACATTTAAAGTATTAAATCCACGTCTGCAAAATATTAAAGAAAAGAAAAATAAAATATCATTCCACGTCAACGTCATTAACCAACTCAACATTTTTTAACAAATAATTGACACCATAGACAAAAATTAACACAAACATGAGATATAAGAACTCAGACTTAAAAAAACATTTAGGAAATAAACACATAAATTAACTAACTTATACTATTTAAGCCTAATAATAATTATAATAAAGTTAATTAATTAATTATTTAAAGATACTGAGTTTGGCGCCAAAACCCAAGAGTAAAAAGGCTTGTGAAATGTGAAATAGTAGTACTCTACGCCGTTTTGAATTATCGAAGGATTCAAAGAAAACTGAAATCAAGGGATTTTCATTCACTCATCATTATTATCATTACTAATACCAATTAAAATCATCAACGTTTCAAACTGTTACTGTTTTTAATTTCCCATTCTTTTTTCTAGGGTTTCGTTTCGTTCTCCGCAGAAATGGCATCCTCACCTCTGTCATTCTCTCCTTCTCGCACTACTTGTGCTTCTCTCCTCCGTCAATTGCAGGTTTTTTACCCATTCACACCGACTTCATCCTTTTCAATTTCTTTATGTTGCGTTTTCGTTTTCAGCTCACTTGTTTTGAGTAATAATTGTTAAAAAATTGTTATGCATAGTGAGATCTTTATTAACCTGTCATGAATTTGATACTGTTGCGGTAATTAATTCCCAATTGTATGTATTGAAAAATGGAGTAATGTGGATTATGTATGTATGTATGCGTGTATGTATGATTTTTGGATGGTATCTGTTTTTATGATTTAAATCTGTTTGTAAAGTGGCATCACTGGTGTGCCACAGTACATTATAGTGTTAATAAAATTTCTCTTTTAGTCGTTGCAAAAGTTATTCTTATGTCCATGATTACTCAATCTAAGGCGATCACAATTGCCAACATAGTATGCACAAGTGATATATACTTAGGGTTCCTTAACCTATAATGGCTGTTAGGTTCTGCGCGTCACTTTTGGCCTGGGAGCTGCAGTTAACAGTAGTGAGTTTAGCAGCCACTATTTGTGACCCAAACCGAAACCGGTATCTTGTCCGCTGTTAGGGTTATGGTGCGAAATTCCTCAAAACCTTTTTACAAACCCTTGTCTTTTTTTAGGATATAATTGCCAATTCGGACCCTTTTAACAATAGAATTATGTTCGTCATTCCATTATGTTCTTGGTCACAAACAATTGTTACGTTATTCCCACTTTTAGTTTAGTTAAGTTATGATTTTCTTCTCTATTTAAGTTTTATTATGTTCTTTAGGGTTTTTTAATTATTAAGCATGAAGGTCTCTTCAATGTTGTGTATTTTTCAATTTTTGAATATTTATGTTTACTTTGCACACTGATTTTTTTTCTTCGCAGTAGCGCCTTTCCCATCTGCAATAGCAGTTTAGGGGATCGGTGCTATGCAACGCTGTAAGATATTAACAATGCATCCATAACTTGCATATTTGAAAAGGGTACAATGATAATCCCCTTTTAATTTGTTTTCTTAAATTGAATGAATGGTACTAGAGACTAATCTTATTGGTCTTTTATCTTAAACTGACCTTAAAATTTTTTATAGAATTTGGTGGTTCTTCTTTATGACGAGATCAAGGGTGTATCCTTTCCAAGAAAGAAACACATTAGAAGCATGATATGATGTGTTCGGTTTTTTTTATGGGGTGATATGCTCAGTTTTTGATGGATATGTGAGTGTAACCTTTGGTGAATGAGTTAATGATCTAAAGTTTTTTTTGTAGATGATATGGGATGAGATTGGGGAGAGTGACACTGATCGAGACAATATGCTGCTTCAACTGGAGCAAGAGTGCCTTGACATTTATCACAAAAAGGTTGAGGAAACCAGAAAGCACAAAGCTGACTTGAACAAGTTGCTGGCTGATGCTGAATCTGAAGTCAGCAATATCGCTTCTTCTTTTGGGGATTGCGTGTCGTTCTCACGGGTATGTTTTCCATTGGCACCCTATTTTGTACTGTTGCTGTTGCTATTACCATGTCATCTTTAAGTACCATTTTGCATTAGATTTCTACAAAAGTTATAGGGAATTCCTGATCTTATAGTCCCTGAAATTGTAACGGTCAGGCTTTGATCGCTAAAATTAAGAATATTACAAAATTGTTTCTCAAATTAAACATCTTTGATCATATTGGTCATATTAGTCATTTTGTGTCAACTTCAAAGACCAAATTGATTGACTTTAAAAGATTAGTTAAATACCTTCGACCCTATTGGGCATTTTGTGACCATTTCAAGGGTTAAATTGACAACTTCATAAGATTAATAACATTATCGACAATTTTAAAATTCGAGATCATTTTAAAATTTTGTTGATGTCAGCGACCAAATGGTCCGATCTTACAATTTCAGTAACTGTTATGGTGATTTTCCCAAAAAAAACTTTTGGAATGGAACCTTATAACACATATGTTAAGTTATTTATAAAATTGAATTTTACAGTTGCATTTTTTTTTCATTCTTCTCTATTGTGATTGAATTTGGTAGATAAATATCAACTAACTCTGTTCTACATTTGAAAGGGAAAGGGCACTCTGAAGCAGCAACTAGCCAACATTAGACCTGTCTTAGAGGACTTGAGGTCAAAGAAGGTTGAGAGAGTCAAGGAATTTTTAAAAATAAAGTCCCAAATTTCTCAGATATGTGCTGAAATAGCAGGCTCTGGACAGTCCAAAGATGTCACGGATCAAGATCTTGATCAATGTGATTTGACAACAAAGAAATTGGGGGAACTCAAATTGCATCTCGATGAACTTCAAAATGAAAAGGTGCTACCAAAATCAGAACACAGTCACATAGTATTGGCACTTCCATATTTTTTTATCTCCTTTTAATTGTTAGCTTAATGTTGCTTCCTTTTCTATCCAATCAGATACTTCGCCAGCTGAAAGTGAAGAATCATATCAGTATTATTAGCGAGCTTTCAACAGTAATGTCAATTGATTTTAAGAAGACTTTAAATGACGTCCACCCAAGCTTGAGTGATTCATCAAATGATGCACCGCTAAGCATAAGCAACGACACTCTTGCTACATTAACTGGGGTTGTTCATTCATTAAAGCAGGAAAAGCAACAAAGGCTTCAAAAGGTGACCTTTTCTGATCTAGTGAAATACTGCCAATGAAGCCATACCTGTGACTGCATGTATATGTATGTGTCTCATTGTTGCCATTGCAAGTAATACATATCATCTCATTCGATACAGCAAATTGTCGCTGCAAAAGCTTTACCAAGAGTTGCAGTTTAGTGTTAAACGGCTATAAGCATCCTAGTCAACTTATTTATTTCTTGCATTTAGTTGCAGCAGCTTTTGATACTGAGTCTTATGTTCTTTCAGCCTGCCTAATTATTTTGTTTTCTAATATCCTGCTCTGTATGCTGTTGGAATTTGGAATAAGGTTATTCTGAAGTAAAAAGAAGGCGTATTAGTCAGTAAAACTCAATTTTTATTAAATAAGGTTCAAATTTCTGTTAAAAGAGGTTTAAGATGCAATGAATGAAACGTAAGTCATGATTTTTCTTTTCTTTACTCATGGAACGAGTTTTTTTTTTGTGTATGGGATGTGTTTGCTTCTTTTTCTAATATGCCGCGAGGATGGATTGCATGTATAATTTTGTTATTGATGGAGCTCTCTTTTCCAACAGGTTTTTGAAGATTAATGAATATAATTTTGCTTTCTTGCAGGTACAAGAACTTACTAAGTTCTTGGTAGAGTTATGGGAGCTTATGGAGATGCCAATTGATGAGCAAAAAGCCTTTAGCCACGTTACTAGATTAATTTCAGCATCAGTTGACGAAGTGTCAATCCGTGGATGCCTTTCTGCTGATGTCATTAAGCAGGTGTGAAACCTTCAATGACTTGAACTTGCATTGAAATTTTAATTTCATAGTTTGAATTTTAGTAGCTTGATTGTTTATATTGATGCAGGTTGAGGTTGAAGTTCAGCGCTTAAATGTTTTGAAAGCCAGTAAGATGAAGGAATTGGTGTTTAAAAGACAGAATGAACTTGAAGAAATTTACAGAGGAGTTCATATGGATGTGGATAGTGAAGCTGCTAGACAGATTCTGACCAGCCGCATAGAAACTGGTACGTAAATTATGCCTAAAGTATTAATAAATTTTTTTCTTGAAATGTTAATATGGCTACTTACAAATGTACCTTTAGTTTCCTTTTTTTCCCCTCTTAAATACCCTGTGGAGCTGTTATTACAGACTTATATGGGGATCCATAATGTCTTCCCTTAGTTTTGATTTTTATTTAATAAGCTTTAATGGCTTTGCAGGTAATATCGATATGTCTGAATTGCTTCAAAGCATGGATGATCAAATCAAAATGGCCAAAGAGCAAGCTTTAAGCAGAAGAGATATCTTAGATAGGGTGGAGAAATGGAAATTTGCAGCTGAGGAGGAAAAGTGGTTAGATGAATATGAAAAGGTAGATACCATTAGTAAGTTTATTTCTAATAATTTTATTCTTAAATAAACCATAAATTGATGCAGTTGAAATTTATCACCATAGAGTACACTAGATGTTATTTTATCATATTTATACATTCAAATGTTTTTATGATTGTTTCAACTCATGTATTTAGCTTATTGTTGTCAAAAGGGAAACTGATGAGTTTCATATGCCACACAGGTTACAATAGCTTAGTTGTAATTCAATTTCAGTTTATTTGCTTTTCCTTTTTAATATTTAACTATTCACAATTTATGAGCCTTTACCTTATATTCTAAACTAGATGCTCACAAGTTGTGGGCCCATGGTCTAAATAAAGTTGATTTTTAGCATTGGGGAGGGTGTCGGAGATACAAAGTCATTTATTTTCATGCATTCACTCATACATTTAGTTATCAGGACAATTGATTATTGACAGTTTGCATGTAACATATGCATGCGGATAGTATAACATCACATGGGTTCTCTGTTTAAGCAATTTGATTATTCTGAACAATTTGTTGTTGAGTTTGCTTATATATCTTGATTGTGTACTCTGTAAATGGGGTAATTGTATCTCACTGTGTCCATGGTGATTGGTGCATAAAAGAGTATTAGAGTTTATACATTCTCAACTTTGGTTATTTTGCATTATGTTAAAAATGAAATCATAAATGTTACTGACAGCTATACCAAGTTGTCCATGATAGTTATTAATCGGATTTGTGTAGTTTGATATTGATATCAGAAGTTAGTACATCAATTCTAACTAATAAAATAAAATAAACTTTTGGATGTTATATGAATAAGAATCTAAAACATGTTATTCAGTAAATGTAGTGTATAGTTTGTTTTGATTGATTATAAGTCAGTTGTGAAGGTGTGAGAAATACACAAGAAAGGGGGGGTTTGAATTGGGTATTCACTCTATTAAAACTTTTACTGGGTTTCTTCACATGTTGCTTTCTATAGAGTTCTATAAGATGCATTGCGGAAGCATAAATGATAAAACATAACACAAGTAAAGAACACATGATATATCCTGGTTCACTTGAGCAACTCTCAAGCTAATCCAGTCCACCCTTCTAAGGTGATTTCGCCTCACTCAAGCAAAGACTTAATCCACTATAACCAAACTGATTACAGTTGCACAAGCTAACTGCAAGTGACTAACAAATAGACAATGACACGTTCAGGGATCCCTTAGGATATAACGTTCATTGACACCTAATAGAAACCGATCACAAAAGATCTCCTATTAGGATACCACAAATGACAACTGTCACTTGTCATCTCAAGTATTCTGATCTTCACAAGATCACTTGAGGAACCACTAATTCTAAGTAGAATTTGTGTTGCTGGAGATTACATGAGTGCTTCTTATCAAGCAAATTACTCCTAATTAAGTACATTGCAAGTATTGAGCAACAACTCCTTGCTTCCTAATACAGAAACTAATCTAAAGATAAATTTCTATGAGATTATTAGAACAGTAGTTTCCATATTGCTTAAAAGCTTTTTTATGTGAGCACTGCGGCTTCTTAACATAAAGCTTTTCTAGTTAACCAACTATGTTGCTAACTTCATTCGTCAGCATCATTGCTTTGTAACAAGCTGGCTTGCTTTGTAATGAGCTAACATTTGAATGAATCAAATGTTCGTCTTTTATAGTGCATCCAAGAGAGACGTTGTGAGGGTAGAGATGTCCATTTAAATATTCCAACGGTCATTTTCCAACGGATAGAATACTCACGTGTTGTATAGTACTAACACCACTTTCTTTTCCTTTTCTTGCAACGTTACTATATCATTGTGGGAGACCGCTCTTATCCACCAATGATATGATCTTCATTATTAGCTTGGACAGATCAGCTTCTGGCTTTGTTTCTTCTGATATATCTGATGAGTAGTTCAGAAACTACTTTGTTATGATAGCGTAGTAACATCAGAGTCTGACTTCAGCACCTTGTTTATCAGAGTTGATAGCAACAACTTATTTGATTAACACGTCTTTATCTGGGTGAAGCTACATAATCTTCAACTTCAGAATCTAGTCTTCAGAGTCTTTCTGCACTTGGCCTTCAGAGCCTTCAGCCTTCAGAGCTTCAAGTCATCAGAGTCTTCAGCACGTAATTCTTCAGAGGATTATATCTTCAGAGTCTTGATCTTCAGAACCCTTAAGTCTTCTGCACTTGGTCTTCAGAGCCTTTAGCCTTCAGAGCTTCAAGTCATCAGAGTCTTCAGAGCTTGGTTCTTCAGAGGACTATATCTTAGATGCGTTGATAGCTTCCAGATCAGATACACTTCTTAGAGCAGAATCCACAAGAGCATTGCAACTGCAATATACCGCATCTTTGGATCTTTCTAATTATGATCAGATACAGAGCCATACTTGCTTCTTCAATACGCTTTGATTGCTTTCAGATCAGATGCACTTCTCAGAGCAGAATCCACAGGAGCATTGCAACTGCAATATCCAGCATCCTTGGATCTTTTTGATTGTGAACATATACAGAGGCAAACTTGCTTCTTTAATAAGCGCTTTATGTCACGTCACACAAAGTAACTCCATATTGAATTTAATGCACTTCTTGTTGTTTGTTGATTTGATATCTTTATTTAACGATCTGCACACAACAAATATTAGAACATAAAATGGTTCTTTCACAAATACTTAATTGTTATCATCAAAACATAGAGATAACATGTAGAGACAATTCTTGCTCTTACAAGTTGTATAGTTTGTTTGGAGTTAGTTGCAAATTACCTGTTGCTCAAGTAATGATGAAGGCTCCATGCATATGTTTTATATAAGGACAATTATGCCTAATAATGAATAACATAATACTTTGATTCAACAGTAAATAAAATAAAATATACTTTTGGATTTTATATGATTAAGAATCTAAAACATGTTATTTAGTAAATGTAGTGTATAGTTTGTTTTGATTGGTTATAAGTCAGTTGTATAGTTTGTTTGGAGTTTGTTGCAAATTACTTGTTGCTCAAGTAACGATGAAGGCTCCATGCATATGTTGTATATAAGGACAATAATGCCTTGTAATGAATAACATAATACTTTGATTCAACAGTAAATACATAAATTCTAAAAGATGGTGAAAGCACTATGCAGATTTTTTGTTTGCACAAAATACCTTGTTGTAGGGTGGAATGAAACTTATTCCTTGTTTCTTTTTTTCCCCCCTGAACATAACGTGTTGAATATTGGAATAATGTCACCAAATTTCAGGTTGATGAATTGTCATTTAAGCAAATACAAATATTTTATATTTTGCTGATCAATTAAAATTGTTTGATAAACTTGCTATTGTTTGTATTATATCTAGTAGATCTTTATTGAGAAACATAACTAAATATAAACAATTTGTCATTTTCACTCATACCAGGATGAAAATCGATATAGTGCAGTAAGAGGAGCACATAAAAATTTGAAGCGTGCAGAGAAAGCACGGATTCTTGTCAGCAAGATTCAATGTGAGTCATTATTTTATTCTAAATTTTACATTTGTATTAATTTTTGTTGATCTAGAATTTTGATATTATGGTAGATATTTACGACTTCATGTTAAGGGAAACCTCCGAACTAGTTGCTGCATATGTTTGGATCAGAACACTGTTAAGATGTTAATGGTATTTAGAACATACCGAGATAGTAAGACCAGAGTAAGCTGTGGACAAGCTTGAGTGAATAACAACTCTTCATAATTTTATAGAAGTAATTTCTAGCATGGCCATATATATTTTGATTGTGATATTGGTACTCAATATTTTCAAAATTGGACCAACGAGACCCCCAAGTTATGGTTTAACTATAAAAAATGTAGTAAGTATTGATAAAGTAAAATAAATAAATACAAGTAGCAAAAAATAGAAACCGGTTGAAGCCACATTTACGGTTCGAACATGATTGAACCAATGTCCAACTGGCAAACTGGTCAATTCCTAGGTCAGCAGGTTGAACTTTCTGATTTGGTTCAATTTTTAAAACATTTCTGGTAACTGTCTTACTTTTTATGCGAAAGAAGGCATAGGAATATCGACTTATATCTGACTAATGAGTATTTGAGATGGTGTTTAATAAATGAAAAGCTCTTGGGAGTACAAACCTTAGGTTAACTAGCAAAACATAGCTATAGCTTAAAATTGGGAATTGGATGCTAGACAACTATGTCAAAATATATTATTTTACTGCTACTATCTTTATCTATCTGAGAAATCTTAACTAGGCGAGGTCACAAATGTTTTCCGTTTGTGAATAAATACTAAATCTGTGACCTATAAACAGGCATATAGAAGTGTCTAACAGTGATCAAGTAACAAAGAGCTTTTCATATGGGGATGTTGGCCGTAAAAATCTTTATAATTTAATGGTGTTGTTGGACTATCTAATTTCAAAAGAAGTGAATTGAATAAAAACTTTAGTCTATGTTCTAAAGTTGGCAGATTAGCATGATTCAGTAATCGCTATTGTTTCTCATAGCTTGAATATCATATATGAAAGCCTGAAAATTATGCTTTGTTGAGAAAAAACATATTTAAGTACAAAGCTCTAGGTTGTAACTTGCTGCTAGTTTCCTCATTGGTTTAACACTAACTATCCTTCAAATATTTTGCTGAGAAGCTATGGTAGAAAATTTGACTGCAAAAGTGAAGGCATGGGAGACGGAAAAAGGAATTCCTTTCTTATATGAAAAGGTGTGCCTATATTTTATATTATTGTCTGTAATACGAGGAAAGATTAGTCAGGTTCCAACTCACATTTATTTCAGGTTCCATTGCTGCAAAGCTTGGACGAATACAATGTACAGCGGCAATTGAGAGAAGAAGAGAAGCGGAAGTCTCGGGTATGACTCACAGTCATAGTATTTTTACTCCCTCTTTTGTTCTTCTCTTAAATCTTACTTCTATATCATTGTCCATTGAACTAAAACTCTATTGAGAATGAAAATTAATCCATGTGGATCCTGTTTTGGCTTATTGGCATTTATTTGAACATTGTCTATAATCAAGTGCATTTTCTTTAATACTCATGTTATGCAGAGACAGAGAAAATAATGTCGAGTAAATTGATGATTATTTCCATTTTATCTTATGGTCTTTCTCTTTATTTTAGATACAAATTTTGGACAAGTATTTTTGGGCCTATGGCTATGCATTACTAATATTATGAAATGAACAAAATGACACAGAAACACGTTTTGAAGGTTAAATATAACTTTACTCCTTATAAATATTGACAATCTTTGCATTTGATTCCTCCTTTTTAAAATTATATCATCCTTTTGATCCTTAGTTTTCGAAATACACCACTTATAACTCCTCACCCTAACACCGTTCAGTTAATAATGATGTATCTCGCAGAATGAAAAATCATTTGTGCCAATGAGGCCAATTCAATTGAGTTGATTGTGGATATTGAAATGATTGTTATTTTGAAATGGAAACAAAAACTAGGAGTGAATTGAAATTTTAAAATATAATTTGTAACTTCTTACATGAAAGAAACAGTTGTAAAATGTCATATACCACTTTTCAAATAAATCAAATCTTTATAGTATTTTTGTGACATGATTTAATTTGGATGATTAATTGATTGTTTTTGTAAGCTTAAATCTTTTGATTGCCTAACTATTTATTCTGGTTTTTTGACAGGAGCAGAAGCGGCTTAGTGAACAACTTTCTGTAGAGCAAGAAGCAATGTTTGGTTCAAAATCTGCAACAAAGAAGCCTCTAAGCCAGAGTACTCATGCTAACACCATAGCTGGGACACCAACTGGGCGCCGAGTGCAAACACCTTCAAGCCGTTATGGAACCTCGGGTGCAAAGGATCGTAGAGAAAGTGGCAGAATGAATAACATAATTCCAGTTAACTATGTTGCTCTTCCTAAAGACGATTCTGCTTCAAGGGGCAGTTAAAGCTCCCTCTCATACTAGACACATGTAAATCAGTTTTCTATGTAAATGTGCTTATTCTAGAAGCTGTGTTTCCTTTTGGAGCTTTATACAAAAGCTTTGCTCTCTACAAATAGAGATTGATTTTAACATGGGGGGTTGATTGTGAATTCTTATATGACAGATGACAAGACTTGTTGTAGGCTCGACACAGAAATATCGTATAACTGTGGGCTAATAGAAATAAATTTCAGAAAACTCATCCTCACTCTTTCATTGTAGTGGTTTGAATAGGTATGTGTTTAAACTTTTCTAGAATTGGAGCAAGGTAGTTTGCTAATGAGTAAAACATTTGATAAAGAAAAACTTTCAATTTAATTAATAATTCTATTAGGTTTTTTGGATGATAATTTGATGAACAATATTGTAATTTGGATGATGTATCTTTGTAATTTGTTGAGCTATTAGGGTTCATATTGTTTTAGTATGATATTTATTTTGTTTGGATTCTTTTGATTTGAGCAACTATTATATCTTCAAAAAGTATATGGAAATGTTAGATACATTGTATGAAGACATTTTCTTAACGTATTGTACAATATATTGCATAACAAAGTATTTTATAAAGATATCAATAAAAAAACATTGCTGGTTTTTTGTTTTTGTTAATGTTGCATTATTTAGAGATCAATTCATGCAATTGCTATAAAGTTCGACAATGATTGCAAATACAAACAATGGAATTAAAGTTTAGAACAATTTCTCCACTTTGCTTTAAATTGTTAAATATAAGATCAATAATAGAAAGAAGCACACACTTGATGCAAGATTCTCAAACAAAGTAACATGGTTTTACACACATCAATAGTAGAAATTCCAAATCACTATCAGCTTAGTGGAATCTGAATCAGGTTTCATTAACAATACAAAATAGAATGAGAAAAAGAAATCCCAAAACATTTTTTTGGCAACAAATTCCACAACATCTATACACAATAAGAAAGAAAAAAAAGACTGCGAGAGAAAATAGATAAAGATAGAAAAACTTTATGATTCCCTTTTCTACATGGATTAGTTGGAATTTTGTTACAAAGTTATATATTTGCTCAAATACAACGGAACGGGAAAGGAAAATTTGCTAAAAGGGACAAAATGGGTGATGAAATGCATGTCTGGATTCATAGCGAGTACGACAAAATCACTGTAATTTTGTAAAAACCATACATAAGAGTTTCAACAAAAACACGGGTTACCATGATTTTGCCAAACATACCATGATTCCAAATATGCGCCAAGTTAATATCATTCCTAATCATAATCCATATTTCTCAAGCATTTTATTGTTGGTTAACATTATTATTATTAGTAGTAGGAACTTTAGTAGGCATGGTTATTGCAAGTGAAGAAAGCATGTTGTTTGTATCTCCAACTTGACCATGTTTCACTTGATCAGTGTCATCAATCACTGGCCCAGAATTTGCACCCATTTGAACACCTTTTATAGGCAAAGGAATATCATTTTCTAGTTTTCTTTCTGTTTCTTCCTTATGCTTTCCCCATAGAACAGAGTATAAACCTATAACAATCAAGATGGCCCCAATCACACTGCACCCACAAAGGCAAAAATCAAATTCTTTAGTTAGTCACTTAGCTTTGTCTATATGAATGATGACAACATCAATACAAATTAGAATAATATTCAAGTGCATACTTTATTTTGATTTAAAAACTTCATAATCAATTTTATAATTAATAAAATGATTAGTGGGCACTCGTAGAAAATTACCCTCCAAAATATATCTGTTCTGCAAGGATAAAGGATCCCATGACTGCAACAATGATCATCATAAGTGGACTAAAGGCAGTTGCAAATACAGGCCCTTTCTTCCTAATCACCAGCCCTTGCACAAAGTATGCTAAGCTTGAGGTCACAATTCCCTAACAAAAAATAAAATAAATTATAAGGAAAAAAAAAATCAATACTAAGAATTACAATCGTTTAAATTGCTTTTTTAACATCTCAAATTTCTACTTTAGTTAGAGTTGTTTTAAGAATGTACAGAGCAGGCTAAGACTATCGCACATGACCCAAAATTAATATCGGTTAAACCGTAACTAAATAAAATTGACGTATTAAAAAGACTGTAAAATAGACTTATAATCAAATAGTAGGTCGGATCATACGTTAAAACTAAGTTTTTGACAAGTAATAAGTCAGACCACCTGACATAATTTTTAAAAAATAGGTTTGATTTATTTAAGCGAACCTCGGCTCAACCGAGCCTGTTCCGGTGTAAAGCTTTTGTTGACATTGAAATTGTGTTGAAATAAAATTGAATGTATGGTACTAGATTCTTACAGCATAGGCAGCAGCAAGTAAACTCATATCCCAACCAATCCTCCATACAGAAAGATTATGCTCAGCCACAAAAGTAACAGCAATAGCTTGAAGAGTACCAATGAAACACATAAGTGAAGTGAGACTCAGTTGATGATGCTTGTACGTTTCAATAACTTTTGCCTGCCCAATTATTTGTACCATAAATTTATTAATCACATGAGAAAGTTAATTAGTGCAGCTATGCTTTATTAATTTATAATGACTTACTTGCAAAACAAAGAGACAAGCCCAAGCAAAAGTGGCAATGATAAGGAAAGTGCAACCTAATATCCAATCTCTTTCGGAAGAACCTGTGGTGGTTTTTTCATGTGTTTCATTTTGAGGATGTCTATGTTTGACCCATATCATTTCAACAATTGGTCCTTTGTATAATGTCATTAGCATTGCACCTGCCACTGTCATTATTGTTCCAAATATCTTTGCTTGACATCGAACTTGCTTTATGTTTATCTTCTCCATCCTTTTCATATTTCATAACATAAATCAGAAAATCTCAAAGACAAGAAAAAAAAACCAGCTGATCAGAAAATCAGAAAAAAAAAACTTAGTTGATTAACTTACCTGCATAAAACTGCCATCACAAAGGTCATAGCTGGAAGCACGTTGCTCATTGCACAAGAGAAAGTTGGAGATGTGAGTTTCAATCCAGCATAGTAGAAATTTTGATCAATCACTGGCCTGTTTCGTTAATCAAATACAATAATCACATTTAGTATATATGCAGCTTTTGCGTTGCTTAGCAGTTTTAGCATCGGCCATGACACAGACGCTATTAGCGTCACGTTAGTTCGTTAGGATGAAATAGCTAGAGGAGACTAACCCAAGAAGAGCTAGGATGAAAATTTGGATGAAAATTCTGAATGTTATCTTAGGTTGACCTTTCCTGGAAAATGAAAAACTATGAGAGTTAGCATTAATTTACATTAAAAATGTGACTTTGTGTTTAAAATTTAAGTATGTTTAATTTATGATATGAACCTTTCAAACATAAATGCAAAAGGAGCTATAGAAGCGGTTGCGAAAGCGTGGCGATAAACGACGAGGACATAGTGACTCATGCCTTGGTTAAGTGAAACCTTAGTGATAATATTCATACCAGCATAACCAAATTGCAGACATATCATAGCAACGTAGTGTTTGAAATTCTCATAGGAATTTGATTTTTCAATGGCCATTTTTTTTGGTAGGGGGAAAGTGTTGAGGAAAGAGGAAGAACACTTGAAAGAAGGTTTTGTGTTCGTTCCTAAGAAGTTGCATGGGGAGGACTCAATTATTTATACCAACATGGAATTTGGTTGGTTACGTCATATGAATGGACACGTATAATTTGCATTAAATTTGGCTTCTATAGTGGGGTTGGCAATATTGGTGGATTATTGGAATATATATGGGGCAACTCGACAATGCATATATTTAATTGTGGTTATTAGAAAGCTAAGTTTTTGTTCGAAGTAGCAAGCATTTCATATGGTGCAGAAAGGAGCACAATTTCAAGATTCAAGAGTTATTTTAGTGGTAGAGATTTGAGTCTTGAGAGTGTGCTTCTCAAGGTCCTAACAATTCTTGTGTTGAGTCAGTCCATATAGAACTTTACTCTGACTTGAATGATTAAGAAAGTTGATGTATTTGATGTAAAATAATTATGATTAAACAAGATTTTTTTTAATTAATTGAAAAAATATATATTTTAACAAATATTAATATAAAGTGGATTTTGCAAAGAATAATATTTTTGAAAAAGAACGCATAATGTTTCATTTGCAAGAATGTATCTTCTTTATGGGAGAACAGTTGCTTTCCATAATTTTAATGGAATCGAACAAATTTATTTTATTGCTGTGTTCTAACTTTGAATCAATAAATCCATTTTTTTAAATATCCCACTTCCTTAACAATTTAATGGATCGAAAAATGATGTCCATATTCAAGTGAGGAGTTTGTCCATATTCATTTATTCTAGAGTAGTTAAGGAACCTTCAATTGAGAGACAAATTTCTTTGTTCACTACAATCATTTGAAGACAAGAGATTCTTGTTGAGAGTCAAAAGCTGATCCCCAACTAACTTTCACAAGTTAACAATATATTTGACACGTTCTATACGAAACTATCATCCTTTGAGAAATCCCATTCACCAGATAAGGACAATGTTTGGACATTTGCACATGGTTTTGCAAAGAATCTTAGTAACATGGAACGACCATTACTATGGTCAACAAAGAGGTCAAACCAACAACAACCTAGACATATAGTAGAAATACTAACAATTGTGCATCTTCTAATGCTTTCAGATGTGTGGCAGTTGATCACATGAAAAATCACTGACATTGTCTATTATTAAAGGACAATTGGATATTGTTGTGATCACGAACAAGACATTTCAATATTTTTTTTAATGAGAAATGAAATTTTTTGATGAGCAATGAGACAGTTAGATTTCTAAAGAGAGAAAAAAAGAAAAGATAAAGAAGAAAGATGAAAGAAGGATTTTGGCAAATTGTTTTCTATTCACGTACTCAATGTTACAAATGATTACAAGTGAATAACATAATTGAAATCATTCAACAATCTGAGTGATATAGCCTATTTATAGACTACAAGGTAACTTAAATAACAAGCTAACCT